TTTACATTACTCTGAGTTTTACTTACTTTTTACTGGTTTCTTTTACTAGTTTCTTTTATTCGTTTTACCCTTTTACTCGTCTTTTACCTGCACTTTTACTTCAGCTTTTGCTTTTTACTTTTCTGATTTTACGATCTTTTCATTTACTTTTTTCATGCTTCCTCTTACCTCTACTCCTTGTTTGTCATTTTACGTATTTTAACTTAGATGCCAGTTCTTTTTAGTGGCAAACAAAACTAATCTGTTATAATATATATATACTTTTAACATGATGTAAAACAACAACAATGAGTTAGTCTAACTTACATTATCTTTAAATTAGAATATAATTTCAGCAAATGAAATGTGCTTTTTTGTGCTACTTGTGGTATCATTTATTTGGCCATCGTTTTCGAAGGACCATCAGCAATGCAATCTTTGCAACAGCTCGGTAGACTATTATTCATTTCTACTAGTATTTTCGAAAAATAATGATGAAAGCACAGGTCACAAGTTGGAAGCAGTGATTTCACTTTGCATTTGGTACTGTTATTTTTTCTTCAAGAGATTCGAAGACCATCTGTTATGCAATTTATCCGGCAGTCGGCAGGAAGGCAAGGAAAGTCAAACACGCATGTGAAGAAATACAATTTATTTAAAGAAAACTAATCTTATTCATTTGGACATTACCAAAAATAATGAGTAGTTATTAAGCATACATCGACTTTAAAATTAGATTACAATAACAGTTAATGAAATGTCTTCTTATGCTGCCTGTGGAACCTTCGGAGCCGTGACAGTCAACACGCCATCGGAAGACATTGCGGAAGTCACGGCCTCCATGTCCACTTTGCCTGGGAAGTTGAAACGCCGACAGAAGCTTTTCATGGACTTGAAGTCGCCCTCTTCCTTTTCCACTCGACCTTCCACCACCACCTGATTATCTTCCACTCTGACCTTGACGTCTCCACTCTTGAAGTCATGAACATCCAGTACAACCTGTATATGATATTGAGTAGTATTTACTTTTCTAATTTTTCCCTTTGCACTGTAATTATAATTGAAATCTAAATATTCTATTTCCTTTACTTAGATAACTACTGAAGAAAAATTCAATTTGAATAGTTCTGTACTTCTTTCTTCTATTCATTTAAATAAATATTAAAATTAGTGAGTGTGATCCATATGGATTTTAGATTGTAGAACTAACCTTATGATTCTGGTCGTCTTCGCTGAAGGCCATGACTTGGTTTTCCTGCTGCAAATTGCGGTCTCTTACACGTCTGTAGCTACTCATCAGATCACTCACGGATTTGGCTTCTCCCCAAGAATCCAGCATTTGGTCGATGGCTGTCTCAAAGTGCTTCCGAATATCCTCGAAGAAGGAATCGTGAAGAAAAGTCCCTTCTCAGCGATGGGGAGAAGTGAATCCTCTTTGCATTCGGGAGCCTCTGGTTTCTGTTCAGCAAGGGCGTCAGTACCTTTGTTCTCCATTTTTCTCTATTGTTTAGCGCTTCAATAAGGTAGAGTAAGACGTGAAAATGTAGATAAAGCTACAGCTTGCTTTGTTCTCTCTCCGAGTGTTGTTTCCGTTGTGTCTAGCGAGAGGCGGCTGCTGAGGCTTTTATGTGGCGCGAGTTGGGTGTGCGCCCACTTCTCACCTCTTTCTGGACGCGGGACTATGGCACAATTGGCAACATCTTCATTCGAAAAATCGTGAAACTTCTAGTTCTCAACTTAGCTAAAATTATTGCTTTCGGTGAAACCTTGCGAAAAATGCCTAAATAGTAATTATTCTTATAGATATTTTCCATGAATGGTCATTATTTATATAGAGACACAAGAACACATACTCGCACTGACACACACACACGCATGCACGCACACGCACACATATATATACTTTTAAATATAAATATATACAATATACACATACACCCATATCGAGATATGCATATATATGTAGACCTTGAATACAAATAAGCACATATATACGCACACACAAACACAAGGCGCACTTTTGACGAGAAACGCGAGCAAGCCATGGTTTGGTTTGGTTTGCTTCGCCTTGCCGAATTCGTCAAACACAGACCCAACTTCCAGCTTGCTATCAATGTAAACAAACGACCGCAATGCGAGATGGTGAGTGACAGAATTATTCGCAGAAGAGAACAGTGGATGCTGTTAGTAATGTTAGTGATATTACCGACGAAATCATTTTTTGTCGTGGTTTTACATTTACAGAAGATAAACGAATTTCAAAATATCTTTTACATATTGGGTAGCACAAAAGTTATGAAAAAAAAGAAATAATCGTCCACACACTTTATAGCAAATCTAAAAGGATAATATCTACCATTCATAACAAAGATGGGTCTTTCAACTGCGACTTTAGAATGGAAATAACATCGGTAAATAAAAACGCACTTGGTATTATGGTTTTCCCAGGAAAGCAATAATACAGTTATAAATAGCTTGAACTTCTGGTAGATAAAACAACTTGCTAGTATATATCATCATCTATTGGCGACAAAATAAGTAAATCATTACGAGAATTTCATCGTTGTCATTCATTTCCGTCGGTCACGTTGTCGGTTTGTTTACTGTTGTGACGTCATGAAAGTGTAGCAGAGGAAGTTTGAAAATGTTTGGTTACGAAACCAGACCAAGATATCTGACAAGAAGGATGTTTCGAGAATTTTCAAAATTCTTGAATTATCTTACGGTCAAAAATGCGCCTGAACACACACAAACATTCTTTGTGTGTATTGGTGTGAGGACAATATAAGTACAGATATGTATATGTACAAACGCGCGCACGGAAACACACATAAACACACATGTACATTTAGAGAGATAGAAAGATGATTATAACATACCATATGTATATGTGTGTATACATTTCAAGTACTTCCTACTTAGGTAACCATCTGTTATCAAAACATTTTCGCAAAAAGGGAAGGCAAGAAAAGTCGTATATGTAAACAAATACAATTTATTCATAAAATAACAAAATCATTATTTATTTTAACATTAACAAAAATAATCCTTAAACACATTGTCTTTAAGATTAGATTACAGTTCCAGTTAATGAAATATGTTTTCCTATGCTGCCTGTGGAATCTTCGGAGCCGTGACAGTCAACACGCCATCGGAAGACATTGCGGAAGTCACGGCCT